ATAATTATTAATTTCAATATTTAGAAGTTTCATTTGTCCTATTTAATAATAACGGGCCTATAAATATGTCCCCGTAATACCAAAAGTAAAAATGTAAAAAAAAGGAATTTTGTTATGCTGCGTCAGCATCGCCCGACTTCATCAGTAACCTGTCATTCCGAATTTCGATGTTATAAATTAAATAAAAACCTGTATTAGTGGTAATTTGGTTTGAATATTAATACAGTCTAGACACCAAAAACATAAATTAAATTTACATAAAATGAACAATTTGATTTATAAGGATGCTCTGAAGAAAAATGATAAATTTTGAGGGGTTTCTTTCATTATAAAAGTTAATGGAGATGGCTTAAAAACAAGTTTTTCAGCTAGTGAGTTTGAAAACAAGATTGTTTTAGGGAACTTGCTTTAATAAATAAATATTATTTTGAAAACGTAAGATCTACTTCATCTTTGTCATATTTTCATCCTTTTATCCTCTATTGCAGTATGTGCCGAATTCTTATAAATTGTAGGAAAAACAGAACATATTTCTTTTCATTGATTTGAACCTATATTGTAGTGAAAATCCACGGTAATATCGATAAAATGAAATATTGGAATTCACGACAATTTTTAAAAGTTGAAAGATCCGCAAATACTTTTATTCCTTGGAGAATGTTAAAGGATATAAAAAAATCATACCTACTTTAAAGATGTCGCGCCCATGACTATTTTATTATCCCCTTTTTACTACGAAATTTTAACTTTATATCTTGATAAAAAGAAAAATAGTCATTTTGATTAGTATTTATTCTTTTTAAAACTTGAAGTTTTACCATTTGTAAATACTTGAGACTTAAATTTTGATATGTCCAGTGTTTTATATAAAATTTCAGCATGAAGTATTTGTACCATAATGTAGCAGGAGATAACCCAAGTAACATATGTGAATCTTGGCTTTTACCTAAATATTACACTGTTATACAAATCAGATTTGTTAACAGGAGTTTGTGGTTTGTTAATTTTATTTTGTAATATTTTAACATTTTGTAGACTACTTTGATTAAAATGCCCTTTTTGGGAAAGAATATCAATGTTCTATGTAATACAAATATAATAAATTTCTGCAAAATTAGCTTGTTGCGAAGGTCCATTTGTTTTTAAGAAGTATTTCATTGACTTTCTTAAAAAATGTGATGGTGGCATATAAATAATACCCCAGGATGAAGAAATATTGCTTTTAAATAATACAAGCATATTTAATTTAAAGTTGTACTTGGGTCTTCATAAAATATTAAAGTATTTACTCGAGAGATAAAGTTCATTTTATTTATCTGGACTGCGGCAACGTTGCAAATTTAGGGTTTTGGTTGGTAAATGGGCAAATTTTCGTTAAATGTACATTTGCTGTCCCCAGATAATTTTAATTTAATTTTTGACCTTTTTTGATAAGTTTTGTATTTATTATATTTAAATACCCCCTTCCTGTTAGGACCCATCGTATTTGTGTACTTTGTGTTTCTATATATGGCAGAAAAACTAGGTAAAATGTCCTGTAACCTAACTGTCCCAAGAGGCGATTTTTTAATTTAAATTATTATATTCTTCTTCTTTGCAGCTTTCTTCTAAAAAAATTAATTATTTTTGAACAATGGAAAGTTCTTTTATTCGTATATAAAACTAAAATAGTTTTTTACAAAGTAGTTTAAACAGAAAAAAATATTAAAGTTGGCATTCAAAAATCTTGTCTTTTTCCTAACGTCGTCTTCTATGCCGACTGCTTCGAAATAGAGACACGAGATAGAGATACTAGCGTTTTATTTCTAGAGGGCATCCAGTTTGATAGTTCGGCAACAACAAGTGTATGGATTTTTTTGTAAATATTTTAAAGGTTAGATTTTTATGCGTACACTTACCTTTTTTTATTTTCATTTTGTATTATAGCATAGTAGAAATGCCAAACAAATGCCGAAATATATTTACATTTAACAGTATTTCTGAAAAATAACGTTTGAAAAAGTAAAAAGCAATGTGTCATAAAACGTTCAGGAAGATGCGTTAGGAGGAGGACAATGTTTCATTTCTTCCTTGTGTTCCTTCCCTATTTCAGATTAACCCCATAAGTTTTATTTCTTTAAAGTTTATTTTTGTTATTTATAAACTTATAGAACTTTTTTGCAGTCTATTACACTGTTTTATCACAAGGAAAAAAAATTGATCAAATTGACCTGCCTGGACAAAATATATATACAAAATGTACATTTAACGAAAATTCGACCAAATACGGAACCAAAATTGGTTCCATTGATTAAAACAAACTAAACTAGTTATAAATGTAATAATAATGTAATTGTGGTTATGTTCAAATTATTGTAGGTTACATTGAACAATTGAACGGTTGTCAAGTTGAGTCAAGTTGGGTTGTCAAAATTCGTTCTTTAAATGCAATTACTTTGGCTTTGGTGGTGCGTAGATGAGCAAAATCTTATAAAAAAGTAGTTAAATATAGGTGACTATGGCCCAGGAGAGACAAAATATTCCTAGCGGATAATAATCTTTGCATAAAATAAATTAAAATTGTATGTGAACACACGTGTTGTCCAATCATTATTTTCCCCTTGTTTTTAAACATTTTAATATTTTTTGATCTGCTTAGCTGAAAATAATGTGTGATTTAATATTTGTAAAACCAAAAACGTTACTTTTTTACTCCAAAAATGTCCATAAGGCGCCATTGCCATTGATGCATTTGGCATAACTTCATCGAAATGAAGTTTTGCCCTTAAAAGTTGTTTTACTTTGGAATCTGATATTATGTTATCTTTTTATATCGATATTATATTGACTACGGCAAAATTTTTTAAAAAGAATACTGCTTACATGCTAACCAGCTTTATCGACCTCTTTGTCTAAGGACACCATACATCTCACTTAACTACCATTTAGCTTTATGAAGGGTCAGAGGAGGATTTATAAAAGCTGTGACAACCTCATTAAAGCAATCCTAATAAAACCTTTAGGTTTTATTATCTATGCAAAAATAGGCTTTGAAGGCAATAAAAGAATTCCCCTTTTTGGTTCTAAGAAAGTCTTAAGCCTGTTGTAACAGCGCATTGAAGTACAAATAGCTTGAAGGTGTGATTTTAAAAGAGGCCCTATCGGTGCTGTTACAGCATAAATAAAACCTAATGTGTTACTTCGAAATGTCTTTAATTATTCTTAATAAAACTCCAATAACACATCTTTAGTTTTAAGAAAAAATTTGTTATACACCACTTGGTCAAATGTTCGTACCGGTTTTTGGATTTAAATAGCTTTTAAGATCTAGGTGTCAGATTTTACGTAGCTGCATTACTGTTTTTGTTAAATGGACTTGTTAAACAAGAATAATAAAAATTGATACGGCTCACAGTGTTTCAATTCTCGAAATTTTCGGAAAAATATCAAGGAGTGGTCGGATTCTTCTAAAAAAATTCCAAAATTCAAAATGGTAGATTCAAAATGGCGGATATTAGTAAAAAAATTGACGGAATTAATTGAAAATCACCTTACAGGGGTTTTTGTGGTCGCTGATAATGAATCTGAAATCAGAATTCCAAAATACAAAATGGTGGACCTCAAATGGCGGACATTTTTATTAAATATTGTGGAAATTAATTAAAAACCCGTAAGAGGTTCTTTTTAAAATGTAATAAAACATCTTTTTATAAAATAGCTTAATTTAGTTTATTATAATTAGGTACATTTATATGATATTATTTAATACCTACATATATATTAAACAATCTCCGTCACTGGATTCGCTCGTTGTATCATTAGCAGAGCATGGGAAACCATCAGAAGATAGCAACAGTTTTATTGCTTCGCGGGACAAAGATTTGCTCTTTTTCGGAGCAAATTTTCTGAAGCTAGAAATATACGGATCGGAAGATGCCATAAGCCAATGGAAAACATCTTCCATCGTTTTCTCCCGAGAAACTTTCAAAATTTATTTATAAAATTTAAATATAACAGATTTTATACTAGTATTTTAAATTTGTATTATTTCTGTTACTTAATATTTTAGCCACGATTTTTTAATTCGCTAAAAAAATTGTCAACACAAATAACCACAATTCAAATTTGAAATTAACACACTACAATGCGCATGCGGAGTTGTTTTAACGCACCTACAAGAGGTGGGTTAAATATGTAAAATCGGCGTTAAATATCTTAGTAGTCACGAACGATTTACGCAAGTGAAAGTCTAGACACCGCTGTTGTAATAAACGTTTTGAGTTAAATCCGAGTAAATCGAGTAAACGTGATGAACGCAACCAAGAAATAAAAAAAAAATCTTATATTTTGTAAAGCAAAAACACAGATACGCGCTCGACATAGGCTTAAAATCGCGAGGTTTTTTACCACAACCGTGCCTGAGCGCCCAAGAACATGTAGTTTTAAAGAGCCGGGGGCAAGTTGGGGCAGCTAATTTATTGATGGCTTGATAGACAAAACTCTAAGCTATTCAACGGATCTTGAACTGATGCCTTACAATTCATTACAATTTTTGTAGCTCCATTGTTCTAAAAGCTCGATTCAAAGTTTGCGATTTTAACAGACCGATCTTGTCGGTTACAATAACCCGTTGTACAAGCAAAATCTACAAAAAAAAAATACATATCTGAATTTTAGATACCTTGAAGATCACCCTTCATCAAACCGAATAACAATCGGACACACCAAACACAAGTTATTCACTTTTAAACAATAAACAATTTTTCGCAGCGATCGCGTGTAAAGTACCTTTAACTGAAAGCGTCAAGTTTAAACTTATGTACAAGACAAAATATACGTATTTTATATAATTTTTTTTCAATACAGAATAAAGACAGGTATTAACTACCCATCAAACTCAAAATTTACCTGGAAAAAATGTCCGTTTTTGAGGTTTTGCCGATATTTTCCAGAATTGAAACACTGTGCGGCTTAAGAATCGTTTAAGACAATATTATGAAGTAAAGAAAAAAATCACTTACGTAGACTACAATGGCCTCTTGAATAGGTCCTGGTATACGAACTTTGTCTAACTCTTGATCCCTCTCGTAAAGAGCCTGAGCCCCGGCAACGGTATATTCTCCTGGTAACGTTATTAGTCTAAAAATAAAAAAACAATAAATACAAAATAAAACAGGTAAAAACATTAAATTAACATCATAATTTTAATGCCCGATAAAGCAAAGATACGGCCTTAAAATTTAAATATACGTACTCGCTGTAAAGCCTTTTAAATCGTGGTTAATAAAAAAGTGTATTTGTAGGTATAATAAAGAATCTGATAAAAAACATTGTTTGCCAATCTTTGGCTTAGGCTTAGCCCGCGAGTAAATCTAGGAAAGGCAAACATTAAATGTAAAACCAAAAACATTTTTTACTTCTTCATTTGCTCTTTTTATTATACGATGATTTTTACATTTTTACAACGTTTTATATACTTTAAGAAAAGTGACTTTCTTAAAACAAAAAAATACTTTATCAATATCGATTTTTTATACAAACGAGCCCTGTGGGATTACAAAATATAAATTTTATGTTTTAGATATCATTAAAATAAAAGCAATAAAGTATATAACTTTCCTAGTTTATTTTTCCTATTTCAACAGCAAAGCAATCAAGTTTATGTTCTATAAAGGAAGATTAAACATTAAAATGTTTCTTTTTGACATACGAAATTTCAGTAATACGAACTTAGGTCTAAATTAAAAATTAAAAAAGGACTTGACGTGTAAATAAAAGATTAGCAAAGGTGTCGATTATGGGGGCCGTTTTGAGTGTTTTTTTTTTAAATATGGGGCAAAAAATCTTACGGAAAATGCGCTGATTCCAACTGTATGTATTTTGTGAAAACTTGTGAAACACAGTTATCAAAACGAGTTTAAAAAATCGTACAAATCGTACAAATTATGAATACAATATTTTAACATACAGTTTATTTTTTTTTATCTGCCATTTTGACTTAGTATTTTTATTATTTAAAAATGGTACTTCTACTAAAGAATTTAATTTAATACTTTGACACTGTCAAATTAACAATAATATTTTTTATTGATAATTTACTTCTCAACTATAAATAAAAAGATAATTATGCCAAAAATATTAGCAACGAATTCGAATGTAAAAGCCCTTTTGAGGGCAAAACTTTCTTTTGATGAAATTATGCCAAATGCCACAATGGAAGAAAAAGTACATCGCCTTATGGACATTTTTGGAGTAAAAAAGTAACGAAGTTGGTTTTATAAATATTACATCACACATTATTTTCACAATATTCACCATTGGACAACATTTACGTTCACAAAAAATTTTAATTTCTTTTATATTAATTCTTTTCAAAGCGAAGATTATTATCCGCTAGGAATACTTTCTCTTCTGGGCCGTAAAGCAACCTATATTTAACTACTTTTTTATGATTTTACTCATCCAAGCACCACCAAAGCCAAATTAATTGCATTTTTAACTACGAATTTCGACAACTCAACTTGACAACTGCACAATGTAACCCAATAATTTATACATAACCACAATTAGATTTATAACTAGCTTAGTTTGTTTTAATCAATGCGATCAACTTGACAACTGTATTTACCAACCAAAACCCTAAATTTGCAACGTTGCCGCAGTCCAGATAAAAAAATTAACTTTAATTTGTAGATATAAATAATACGAAAATAAACGGCAACGTCGCAATCTCCATGCGTTTTTGCTTTGGCAGTTATAACCTGTATTTTCCGTTTATTTTATTCTTGCTGTTAAAAAACAACATCAAAAGTAACAACAACTGTAACTATGAAAATTATTTTCCGATACCACACAAAATTATGGGTGACATTTACAATATCGAAATTCATTATATCGAATTCAAAATATCGAACACTTTTTATCGAAAATCAAAATATCGAAAATACAAAATGTCGAAAATCATAATATCGAAAATTAAAATGTCGATTTAAAAATGTCGAAATTTTATTTAATCGAATTTTAAATTTATCGAAAATAAAATCTCGACCGCTGTCATACAGGTTATGACGAATAGCTGTCATCTTGGTTATGCAGGTACACGGGGTCGGTGGGGTTGGGTTGTTATAACAACCCAACCCAACCGACCCCGCTCCATTGAGCAATAGAGGTATAATATATCTAAGGGTAGGCTGGATTGTGACAATGGGGCGGGAGGGGCCCAATGGGGCGGGGTCGGTTGGGTTGGGTTGTTAAGTTTGGATTAGTTTGGTATGGCACAATGCAGTGTACCTGCATAACCAAAATGACAGCTATTCGTCATAACCTTGAGGAATACTTTGCTACATTTAGCCTCTAGTTGAAAATGATGTTAAGATATGCGACGGTTGAGCACACACATTTCTACGTCCGTCCGACGGTCAAGCACACACTTTTCTACGTCCGTCCGACGGTCGGGGAGACACTACCTTTAATTATTCGACATTTTCAAATCGACATTTTAATTTTCGATATTATCATTTTCGACATTTTGAATTTTCGATATTTTGATCTTCGACATTTTGTATTTTCGATATTTTGATTTTCGATAAAAAGTGTTCGATATTTTGAATTCGATATAATGAATTTCGATATTGTGAATGTCACCCCAAAATTATATATTAAATTTTGAAGACATGCTATGGAAACTTTCCAAATGATGAAAGGTACTATAGTGTTTATGAATCAATGACATGATTTTTTTTCACAATATTTACAATGTTTGGAATTTAAATTTCGATGAATTTTACAAAAAATATTTTGTTATTTTGAAAGTAAAATGTAAAAAAACACAGAAAAAAGCGTATTTAACTATTTAAGAACCCTATTTTCTATATTCTGTCACATAAAAAATTAATAAATAGAAAAATCTAACATTTTATTGACTTCATAAATATGATTTAAACTTTAATAATATAACACAATGTACACACGAGTAAAGTAAAAGAAAGCAGATACAAGCGAGAAGCTTCAAGCTCTTCTTTAAGATAAAACTTTTTAACAAAAAAACTTCAATGCAGTAAACACTTTGTTTCAGCGCACAGTGTCAACAAGAGAACTAATTTTATAAAATATTTAGAAAAATTTTGTATTTAAATTATTTTATATAGACTTCTTAGTACCATGCTGTGAACTTTTTACTATCTATAAAGAGGACATATTTAAAGAACTATATTACTTTTATACGTTCGCGCCGTGTAATAAAAGAAAATGGAATCTCAGACATTTTTACTCATATCAAGGGAATTTTAGATGTTTACAATTCCAAACAATAAATTTTAAAATAAAGTATTTTTTACATACATTCGTTTCACAAATAGGTTTTTATAGTAAATAATGTACAATTATAATAATAATTATTAGAAGTAGAAAATAAGCTTAGGTGAACCAGACAATAGACGAATTTTTTGATTGGTCTAAACGGGTTTTTTACAAACTAAAAGGTAAAAACTTTTGTCCGATTTGTCTAAATTATTTTTACAGCCTATAGGCGATAATCACTTTAGTAGGCGACTATAATAACCGATAATAACATTTAAAATTGGTAAAAATTAAGATTAGGTAATCATTTGACAGATGTAGATAATAGTATATTATTATACGAGAGATAATCCAGGCTATTATTCACAAGGATGGGGTTTGAATCCCGAGGCGACAGACATAAATCATCCGAGTAAATAATGAGCATTATTTCGAGTGTATGCTTTTTCTACTCCAATAAGTAATTTTCATTGATAACAAAATTTATTATAACCTTACTTATTCCCGATTTTAAATATCATTATAGTTGCCCCTTGTATATATAAACAAATCTGACATCTGTTAACCTTACTTTTTCCCAATTTAAAACCCGATTAGTTAAAATAACAGTGAATATTGAAATCAGCCAATCACTGATGCCTAACAACTTGAATAATGAGTTCAATATTTCCGTTGTTAGGGCGGGCGGTTATACTGGTTACCATTATTTACGAAAAAAACCCAAAACTTTTTTGAAACGAGTTTTATTAGTTAATTATTATTAATAACAATAATAATAATAACAGTTTAAGAAAAAAAGCAGGTGTGTCGGTAAGTGGAGGCAAGACAGAGCATCTTACGTTTTTAATTTTAAAAACTTAAATATTTTAAATTTTGAAAATTTTGGAAATGTGCATTAGGGAGTTTCATGTGTCATGTGTCTTCTCTCATCTGTCACCTGTCATCTGTCACCTGTCACCTGTCATCTGTCACCTGTCATTTATTACCTGTCATCTGTCATTTGTTACCTGTCATCTGTCACCTGTCATATGTCAACTTGAGAACGTCGTGTAAAAGTCTTTAAACTAAAGTTTCTAGAAATAAAATTTTCTATTTAAAAATTAGGTAGCACACTGTTTAAAATATCTGTGGTGTAAAAAATAATCTTAAAATGGTTTCAAAATCCAACACCAAGTGGTGTTAATATAAACACCATGAATTATGGTTGAAAATGTTATATGCAACAAACACCAAAACGGCGTTTATCTAAAAATATTTGAGAAGTGCACCTACACAGAAAAAAAGAAATAGTTTATTTAAATATATTAATTTAGTTGACCCATAAGTATTTATTTAAATCAACTTTGGGAAGGTTAATAATATAAACAAAGATTAGTTTGACGGTACTAAACCAGATAGTTATTTTATTTTTTTTAAATTGGTTAATTAACCCAGAAAACTTTAGTGAAACCAACCCGCTGTATGGTTCAGTTTACTAAATATGTAGTTTATAAAATCAGAGTTACTTCAACCACTCTGCACTCTGTTAAAACGATTAAAACAATTTGCCGTGCATTCCTGGTTGCATAGTGTGTACCGATCGCGGCAAAGGCGGTTTGGATCACGTGATGTTCTTAAATCTCGCCTCTGTTGACTTACATGAAGAGTATATAAGCTCAGGTAGTCCTTTTCTTTGATGTGACACTACAAGTTGTTCGATACTAAAGAGACCTTAAATAGGTGGAAACAGCTGTCAATACTTGAAGTATTTTAAGTTGGTGGAACGCACTAAAAACATTATCTGTAGCGAGTTGAAGGTTCTGGAATAATACCACTGGTAATATACCAGTAATGCGTCAAGG